ATATTGAGAAGTGATTATCAGTTTATTCTTCATGTTTTATTTCTGTTCATTTATTGTTTTTTTTTTCAATCATTATCAATTTAAATATTTCATCATTTAATTTGTTATCTGATTTTTATTTTGAAATAAATGAATATTAAAATTCATCATTATTTATATTATTATTTTATGTTTGACATATCAATAACACTATAATTATGGTTTATCTCATTTATTATCAACATTGTTTAAATAATCTTTATTGATAACACATCATGTATTCAATTCAAAAGTATCATTGATAAAGATACTTCCATATTGATAAATGATACTCTATAAAATCAGTCATAATAAATATTAACAAGTAATAACCATTGAGTATTAAGTGGTGTGTTATCTCACAAAATGAACTCATAGCCAGACGATATTGGTGATTCAAAATATGGAAAAATTAAGATTTCATGTGGTGTCTCTGGCGTTCCACCTTCAAATAAAATCAAATGAAGACTAACAAAAAATAAAGAATAAAAAGGGTTGTATAAAACAAAACCAGATCAGATATACCTCTCAAGAGGGGAGGAAAGGTCAAATTGTGTTTGTTTAATACTTCAACTATTCAAGTCCAATATATTAATGATGATAGTGTCAATAAGTTATTGATAAAAATATTAATTCTATAAGGTTCAATTATATTTAAATTAGTTAATTAATGCTTCATAATGTTTATATTCTATTTGTTCATTAAACTTAATAAGTTTATTCTTACGTTCTTTTATTCTTCTTAAAATTGTAAATTATTATTTTTATGCTCATCTTTTCTATTCTTTATTTCTTATCTTTTTTATTTTGCCCATGCTTTTTTGTTAGTTTATCACTTTTTTTATTCTTTCTTTTTTATTCATTATTGTTTCATTACTTTTACTCCTAACTTACTCAATATTTTAGTTTGCCATGTTCAATTAAACAACGTTACAATGTCCTTCTTCCTTAGGATATAACTCCCTTATTTTTTCTTTCTTTCTTATCTCTTCTGAACATCCTTCAAAACAATTATATTCTATTCTTGTTATTGTTGTTGGTATATTAATTAATGTTAATGACGAACATCCTCCAAAACAATATCCTCCGATTTTACTAACACTTGATGGTATATTAATACTTTCTAATCCTGAACATCCTCTAAAACTTTGGCATCCTATTTCCTTAACTGTCGTTGGGATGTCAATTGTTTTTAATGAACAACATCCATAAAAACTTCCATCTTCTATTTTACTAATGCCTATAGGTATATCAACTCTTTTTAGTCCAGTACATTTGTTAAAACAATACCTTCCAATTTCTTTAATCAAAGTTGGTATATTAATTGTTGTTAATGAATAACAACAATTAAAACTTCCATCTTCTATTTTACTAATGCTTGTTGGTATGTTGATGCTGCTTAATGTTGTACAACCATCAAAACAGTCATTTCCAATTTTACTAACACTTGTTGGTATATTAATGCTTTTTAATCCTATGCATTCTTTAAAACATCTATATCCTATTTCTGTAATATTTGTTGGTATATTAATGCTTGTTAATCTTGAAATGCCATAAAAACAATATTCCCCTATTTTATTATTTCTTCTTGATATATTAATTGAATTAATGTCTCTCTTTTCTATACGCTCTCCATTAATTTCTTTTATCTCTTCAAATGTTTTAAAGCTTAGTAGTGTTGGCTCATTAACAAATATCCTTTCTTCACTTACATATTTTACATCTTCTATACCTATATTGCTTAATTCAGTACAACCGCCGAAACAATTATTTCCTATTTTACTAATACCCTTTGGTATATTAATATTATTTAACCTTAAACATCTATAAAAACTCTCATCCCCTATTTTATTAACACTTGTCGGTATAATAATAGATTTTAACGACCTACAATAACCAAAACTTTTACACCCTATTTCTTTAATAGAAGTTGGTAAACCAATGCTTGTTAATGATGAACACTCCTGAAAACTTTCATCCTCTATTTTACTAACTGTTGTTGGTATAGTAACTGATACTAATGACCTGCAACTTCTAAAACTTCCTTTTCCTATTTTAGTTATTGTTGTTGGTATATTAATTGATGTTAATGAACATCCTTCAAAACAATTATCTCCTAATTTTTTGACATTTCTTAGTACATCAACTCTTATCACTTCAAAACAATATTTAAAACATTCACTTCCAAGTATTGTAACTTCTGGTGGTATTGTAGTCCCATATCCATTTCTATCTTCTTTTGTATATTCTATATTTTTACATATATTTCCTTGTTCTTTTTCTTTTAAATATTCTGAATAATCTATTGTATACCATATTACTTTTTTAAGTATTCTGCCATCATTAAATATTTCATCGTTTGTATCATAACTGTGAAACGTTTCAATATTAGGAAAGAATCTTCTTGAATATTCATTTAAAGGAATTGGATTAAAGTGAAATCGTTCCATATTTCCTTGAAATCTTTTAACACCCATTTCCAAATTAATAAAATCATTAATACTATCAAAATAAATTGATGTTATCATTATTTCATTACATCCTAATTTCATTTTTGATTTATTGCTTCTTATTGTATTTTCCATTCTTATTTTATTTCAACTTCAAATATTTTTAAGATTATTATTTAGTTTTTTCTATTTCTATTTTAAGTTTAATCTAAAAATCTTTTAATAGATTTTAATTATTGAGGAAATATTCTAAAAATAATGAAATTGAACTAAAAAATAAAAAATTGAATGATTTAATAAAGATGGTAAATCAAATTATAAAAAGAGAAATAAAACACATGGAATGATTTATTGAATGAGTACAACTTCATGTCAATGATATGAATGAAACTCAAAACATTGAAATGATCAATAGGGGATGTATTTAGTCATTAGAAATAATCTAAAGTTTACATCACAAAGAGATGGAATATGTTTTTATAATATTCAATCAATTGGTATGTAATTGTAATTCATTTAGTGTTGACGAAAAGGAATGAAGAAAGGTAAGAAGATAAGAAATTAGAATGAATTTAAAGAGATATTGATGAATAATGAGACATTTTGATTGATCAAGAAAAACAAAAATTGAAAATAATAGAAGAAAAAGAATGAACAAGTAAAGTACAGTCTATGAATTATTTATCAGATGAACCAGATGAAATGATAGAAATATTAAACAAAAGATGAAAAAAAAAGAAATAAAACAGATATAATCAAATAATTTTCAAAGAAGAATAGTGAAGATTTTGATAAAATGAAGATAGATGAAACAACAGATCAAGATAAGTTAAAATACAAACACCAAACATTGTATCAAAGAGAATTAAAGAAATATCAAAAGTATTATCTCATCAATCATACATTATTTTATATTTGTTATCTTCAATATACAAATAGAACAGTGTTTTAGTATTATAGATAATATAAATGATAACAAGAAAGAAGAAAATAAAAAAAAAGAATAAGAAAGTTAATAAGAATTATAAAAATTGATTACAAATGATTTTCTACAATAAAGAAACATTATATACAAAGAAAATATAACTAAATGAAATATATCAATTGACAAAATATATCAAATGTTTATATATTATACCAATAGAAATAAATTAATATAAAAACAAACACAATGATTAAATAAAAGTATTTTAAATCAAAACAATGAAATTCAAAGAATAAATAATGTAAATTGATAAATAATGTGAATCTAACAAAATAAAGATAAAAGAAATGAATAAATAAATAATGAAAAGATAAATAAAGCACACATATATAATAATTGACAATACAATCATTAATAATGAAATAATTCAATTAAACAAATGAAATCATTTGAATAATAATATAATAATAAATAACATAAAAGTTGGTGAAATGATAAATGTAAATGTTTATCAAATAGTATTAAAACAAAATGAATAGAAATAATGAAAATAGAAAGAATAATAAGAAAAAACATAATAAGAAATAAATCAAATGAATGTTGTATTAAAGAATAAAAGAACATAAAAATGAAATAGAAACAAACAATAAAACAATGAAATAATCAGATGAAAAGAAATTCATACGAAATCAAAATAATCAATTAATAAAATAATAATAACACAATATAAACAAGTTAATGACTTATGAAATGAAAGATGAAATACAATGGAATTAATGATTAACCAACATAAAAATGAATACTCTAACTTAGATATACAAAATAAATGATAATAATTCATTGTTGAAAATTATATATTTCATTAATTTAATCATTTTTATAAATTGTATAATTGATAATACAATCTGTTAAACATTGATGATACCATAAATTAAATGAAAGGACATTTCTATTTATTTTATTTTGATTCATTGATTTATATAATGAATAAGATAAAAGAAAGAAGAAAAGAAAAAGAAATAAATGAGATTCGAAGAAAATAGGTTGAATGAAATTAAAAGAAGAATAATCATTCTTTGTATTCCAACATTGTTGTTATTTATTTCAGTTCTAATGAATCTACCTAGAAACCCATTGAAAGAAATAATGATGGGAATGTGTTGTTTATCTTGA